AAATACAACAATAAAGTCATCAACATATTGATAATAATGGGAATTGAAACATGTCATAGACATTAGTGTCATGAGACTGTATTAAGTTATAATTGATTATCTTGGTTAACCATCTATTGAATGCTAAAGCTTTATTCAATGCTTATATTTGGTTTAGTATCTTTCTACTGGGCTGTGGCTCACCCTTTACGGGAACATCATTTTCAGGTTCAGGTGATAAGCTACCTCCAAGGACTTAGCTTGGGAGGATTTGGCTTTTGGAGTTTGAAGACTACCGTTAGTTAATTGTTTTTTTTTATTTGTTAGTACATGTAAACATTCAAGCCTAGGGCTTTACTTGTATTTGAGTTAGAACTCATATTTTTTTGTGTCCAAGTGTTGGCTTGGAATGATGTTAGCCTGTAGGGCATTGAATTTGATGTTACATGGAATGTTTTTATTTAGTAATACTCTGATGAATGAATTAATGAATTGTTTTCTTTAACTATTGCATGTCAAAGATATTTATATAATGGGTTTATTTTGAGGGCGTGACATATACCATACTAAGCACTTCGGTTTTCCTCTTGCTCATTGAACTGAATGATACTCGATGTTGTTTGCCATAAAGACAATGATCACATGGCTTTAAGGCACTCCTTTTGGATAAGGGTATCTTGGATTGCTTTGCTAACAGATGCAATCCCTTCTCACTCAGGTAAGCCAGTCTTCTATGCCATAAGTCTAGTGACTCCTTGTCTTCTTCTGCATTAAGACTTCCTAAACAGATCTTCGTTTGAGTCTTGTACAATGTTGAAGACATCTCTCCTCTGGCGATTGTCAAAGCTCCTCCTGTCAACTTCCAACGCCCATTTCCGAATGTACTTGTATAGCCCTGTCGGTCTAGGGCGCTTCCGGAGATAAGATTGAGGCACAAATCTGGAACATGCCTCACATCTTTGAGAACCAGCTTGTGTCCGACATTAGTCTGAATACTAATGTCTCCAATACCCACAATCTTTGAATAGCTAGAATTTCCCATTCGAACAGTGCCAAAATCTCCAGCATTATACGAGCTGAAGAGTTCTTTGTGGGAAGTGGCGTGATAGGATACAACTATGTCTATCACCCACTCTGTATAACTGTGGTCAGCCACATGAAGGCAATCCTCCTCTTCACCAATTGTAAGAAGTATATCATCAGTTGTTGTGGCTGTCGTGTTCTTATCTCCCTTTGACTTACTACTTTGGCCTTTATCTTTCCGACTTGGGCAGTTCCTCTTTATGTGACCTCCTGGCCACAGTGAAAGCAAGTGAAGCTAGAGTTATCTTGACTTTTACTGTCTCTGGATTTACTCCTATTGTTCCATCTGCCTCTGCTATTGCTTCTTCCTCTGCCTCTGCCTCTGCTTCTTCCTTTACCTCTGCCTCTGCCTCTATCTTCTGTAACAAGGGCATGGGATTGATTACCTCTCATGTCTTTCCTCCTTGTTTCTTCATTGTATATGGCGTATGTGACCATGCTCATGGTCAACTTCCTCTCTGGTGCAGAGTTGTTGAGAGAAACCACCAATGTCTCCCAATTGTCTGGTAAGGAACTGAGCAGTAGAACGGCTTGCATTTCATCGTCTAGGGGCATCTTGACGGTTGCAAGTTGATTTACCAGATTCTTGAATTCATTGGTGTGCTCGTGCGATAGACACACCATTCTTCAACTTCATATTTACAAGCCTTCTCATCACCAAGCTTTGTTCCGGGCAGTCTTTGACTGGTACATTCCTTTTAACATTGTCCAGAAGACATATGCATCTGTCTCATGGGCGACGTGGTGAAACACACTGTGGTCTATCCATTGTCTGATACAACCGACAGTCTTCCAGTTCATCTTTATCAAGTCTTCATCCTTCACTTCTTCCGGTTTAACCCCTTTTAGAGCAATAGGGTCAAATAAGTCTTTATAATATAGGATGTCTTCCATCCGTGGCTTCCAGATTGTATAATTGGAAGGATTCAATTTGATCATGGATCCCGAAGTTGAAGTAGATTCTTCCATTATCTTCTTACTTTTTATAGAAATTTTGAATCAAAAATCTAACCATACGGATCTCTCCGGAATCCTCCAAATAGTTGAAAACCACTATTGGATCGCCAAAATTGGACTTCAAATGACTCAGATCAAGCCAAAACAGTTTTGGACAATTCAGATCTACGGGTGTACCTTAAGCGCGCAGCACTGGATCACTCCTCCAACGAGTTGACTAGTCAACTGGGACGAGATGACGTGGTAGACACGTGGTTTCTAGTGACACGTGGCCGATGACATGGCGACACGTGGCTGATGACGTGGTGACATGTGCATAATGATGTGTCGATAACGTGTCAGACACATGGCTGACGCGACGCTTGCATGGCGATGACGTGGCTCGTCTTCCACCTTCTGCGCACGTGAGGAGCGTGGCTGCGTTTGGTCTAATGCGCCGGCAATGATAACGGCGCATGAAGTGCATGTGTGAGACTAGGCCTCACGCACTTTGCTCAGAGGGCGAGTGAGGATGATTCTGGGCCTCTTCTTTGCAGTTTTGGACTCCTTTCAGTAGGACCTTGCTTCTGGTGTGCTCAAAAGTGAATTTTGAGCTACTTGATTTCTAGGCAGTTTTGAAAAACACTTTTTGTTCTAAAACACAACCGACGAGGCCCTGATACCACTTGTTAGGATTAAGGCACACCAGCAATCAATCACACACAAAAAAACACAGGAGATTTACATGGTTCAGCAATTGCCTACATCCACAGGAGAGATATCACTATAGAATTTTTTTCGGAGGGAGTTACAACACTCACACCTCACTCTCTCTCTATAGCACTCTCACTCAAGCACACACTCTGTGTTTTTCCCTTAATCCTCAGACCCTCTTCCTCACCTCAATTTATACACAATTGAAGGAATACAAAGTTAAGAGAAAAGAGTTAATGGCTGCCAACCTGCCAACTGCCAACTTCCATCTTCCTTCCTAATTCTTGACTTGGAGACTCAACCTCCAACCTCCAACTACTCCATGTGGGCTGGATTCAACACATCTGTGGTCTGTTCTGAACAGAAAATCTAGGCCTCAAATCTCGAAAAGGACAAAAGACCTCATTGACCTCAAAATGTCTAGCATTTCTTCAAGGATACGAATGGATCACTGGAAGATAATGTCGTTGGGAATGGTTTGCATGGTGTTTCCAATGAGAAGGATGAGAAACGTACAAGGAACAAGGATAGGCCTGATTATGGTGTTTGGACTCCTATTTGCCATTCAGATGGATCACATGCTAGTGATGAATCTTTATTATCTTCAGCTTCTCAATCAACACAGTTACAGCAAGATTCTGCTAAAGGTGTGGTCATTACTCACCTTCCCCTCCAACCCATTTCTGCTCATCTGATTTGCTTGCATACCACAACTCATGTTGCTACCACTTACCAGGTTCACATAAACACAGTGGCTGCCGGGGGCTAGCACATAATGTGAAGGATTTAGATGGCTTTTCTGTCGTAAGGGGAAACTATTGAAGAAAGGAGGTTCTTCTGGCTATGGTTCCCATGAGGTGTGCTTGCAATTGAATTTTTGGTTTCAACTTAAGCTATCAGGTTTTTTTATTTGGTCATTTGCTAACCTGATTAGGCTAATTATTATTTAAATGCAGAAACAAGTGTGGGTTCAGAAGCCAAGTGCTGGTTCTTAATGTTGTTTTGACTGGTAAGCCACTATGCTTTATGAATGATTTCTTTTTCATTTTAGATTCAAAAGGCTGTAAATATATATCTGGAATTAGATGTGTACTGTCTCCGTTACTCTCTACACATGCTTTTGTTGAGTGGGTATGTCATATGCCATTAGTGAGCTCTTGTTTATAGGCTTTCTTTGTAATTGGCAATCGGGTTTGCGTGAAAGTACAAAGTTGGGGGCCTGCCTTCGACTCAGCGGGTATGTTTTTAGTCTTTTGACATATACAAACTGGAGTGACTTTAAAATAGGTGAGGAAATTGGAGTGGAGAGTTCGTAGAAAACTGATGGATGTTTGTTTTTGTATGTTGTGGCGGATGAGGCTGAAATGGGAATATGCATTGATTTGTTCTATGTTAATTATTTTTAATTGACACTAGCTAATATTTTCAGCCAAGATCTGTGTTTTATTTTTTCTCAATTATTTGTCATTGATATCTTGGAAACCCAACTTCACCCAAGAATATTGAGATATCGTTTCTTTGAGATTGTTTTTTGGCTGCTCTATCTTTTGACAATGGTTCGACAACTTTCCATGTTCTTCATGAAGATGCTACCCGTTTATGAGTTAATTATCATGTGCTTGCTTGCTAGCTATAACTTTTTTTATTATTATTTTTTTTTTATTTTTTTAATTTTTTAATTTTTTTTAATGATTCACACACGCACACATATCAAATTACATGCATTTGTAGCAATGAAGTTAGTTTTGGTTCGGATAGATTAAATGGCAGTGAGTAGCAAATGACTCTTCTTTGACTGAAAATGAGAGACGGAGTGTGGATAAATGTGGACCGAAGATGCTGCAAAGAGAGAAAAAATGTTATGAAATGATACATAGGATGTGTTGGGAAAATGGTAAAAAATTAGTTTTTAGCTTTTTATCAAGATTTTTGGCTTTTTTAGAAAGTGATTTGGAAAGTTAGTAAAAAGTTACTTTTAACTTTTTTGGTTAATATTTATTTATGATGTCACATCACAATAAAATGACTAAACTACCCCACCCAATCTAGAAAATTTACATTTTCATCCATGTATAAACTTAAATAATATAAAGGGTATAATTGTAATGTTATATGTAATTTTTTTTTCAACTAGCCAAATGACTTTTTGCTAAAAAAAGCTAATATAACTTTTTTAAAACCAAGATAAAAACGTGATTTTTTACCATGTTGGAAAAAGACCACATAATTTCAACTTTAATGTTACAGGCTCAAATTTTCTTACTTACCATTACCAAATACTAGAAAATGAAGTGGGTCTCACCAATCCACCATTGGCTGAGAATATGAGATAAATAATAAATAAATAAATAAATTTGGGCCTTAACAACTTTGCCATACGGCTGCACAGATTAGCTGGGCTGTTCGAAGTTGGCTCGCTCGGCATAGTAGTTCGGATCCGCTCAACTACAGGAATTTACCTCACTAAATTTTTAAAATTTTCTTTGGCAACAACTCTTTGAACTATATGCAACTTTGCCTCTGAAATTTTTTGAATGTCACGATTACCCAATAAACTTTATAATTTTACCTGTAGTGCTTTATGAAATTCCAAGTGTCCAGAATATATATATATATATATATACGATAGTGCTACATACACCAATTAGTATACTAACTAGTAGTTGGAGAAATTATACTCACATGGTGCATATAATGTCCAGAATATATAAAAAAAGATTAGTATCTTCTGAAATTATACTCACTAGTATTTGGAGAAATTAGTGTCCAGAATATATATATATACTCACATGGTGCTACATGCACTAATTAATTTACTAACGAATTAGTGGATATAGTATTATTCATATATATATACACGTTTGGGTAAATTATACTCACATGGTATTTGGAGAAAATATATAATTACACTAATTATTTTTGAAAATTCAACTTACACAACAGTTAGATGCTCACTAATTTGTTAATCATAAATAAAAAAATATTTTAAATATATTTTAAACTAAAATTTATATTTGTTTATTTTTATTTTAGTATTTATCCATTAGTGATATTAATTTTAATCACTTTAATTATACTATTTTTTTAACGTAATTGTATAAAAATGTGAATTTAATTTTTTTTTAATTTACCCTACAGATATTGTTGGGACGTGGCTAGTTTTAAAAAAGGTTAGCTTCATCGTCTCCTACCAAAATAAATACAAATTTCCAGAACACATCTCTCTCTCTCTCTCTCTCGTCACAATGATCTGTGTCTGTGGCACAAGTTGTATTTATTTAATATTATTTCAGAAAATGTTCTCCAATTCCAATCTCTCTCTCCAGATTTATTTTTGAAATCCCACAGCACCAAAAAACGGTCTTTTTTGGCACGAAATACCACCTGCACTCAGCCCTCCTCCAATGGTTACCCTTCTCCTCCTACTCCCACTACTCAAAACACATCTTTCCCAGGTCCTCTCCCTCTCTCTCTCTCTCACATAAAATGAAAATGTATATTGAGTAGACCAAGCATATGAGAAATTAAAAGGGGGTCAATTTGGTTTAATCTGGTAAAAAATATTGATATGTCCTATTCTTCCTGTGGAATAAGAATAGTTGAGGGTTGGTTGCGTAGATGGGTGTTGCAATGTTTTAGGGCTTTTGTATTCAATAAAAAAGAAGACAATGATAGACTTTTGAGGCCTTGAAGTTGAGGCTCATGATAATGCATTATTTATTTATTTAGACAAGGAAAAACATTATATTTTCATTTTTATCAAGTTTTGGTTCCAATATTTTGAATTGATGTTAAATCAGTCAATTAATTGAGCTCCCAAATTTACTAAACATATCATGTGGGGTTATATGATATTTAATTTTTTTATTTTATTTATTTATAATAATAGTAGCATTGTCCTCAATACAAAAATAGTGAGAGCTAACAATTACTTTAGAGGAGTGCTATTTGCTTTCCTTTAAGGTTGTGTTTGGATCATGATATTTGAAGGAAATGTTAGTTTAATACCCAAATTAATACCCGTATTTATGATCCAAACACAATCCAAGTAATGAGCATGTCGTTGTTGTACTATCTAAAGTTCTTCATAGCCATGCACCCTTCACTACAAAAATTTACACAATTGCCAACCACTTTTGCCGACCAAAAAAATTTTGGTCGCAAAAAAATAACATTTGGCGACCAAATATTAATTAGTCGCGAATGATCATTATTTTCGGCGACCAAATATTATTGGTCGCAGAAGGTTATATTTTGGCGACCAAAAAATGAGTTGGTCGCAGAAAGTGGTATGCTTTTGCCGACCAACTACAAATTTGGTCGCGGAAGGTCACATATTTTTTGGCGACCAAAAATTTGGTCGCCAAAAACTTATTTCAGCAACCAAAAAAAATTAGTCGCCAAATTAGTACTTTTAGCGACTAATATTTTAGTCGCACGTTGATTGAGATTGGCAACTAAAAAGAATTTCGGCGAATGGTACCTTTTCTGCGACTAATTTGATATTTGGTCTGCCAAAATTCTAAGGAAATTTGAAACGTAGCGGGAAATAAACAGAAACACATTTCATTTTCCTACTCTCTCATCTGTTTCTCTCAAACAAACAAACAAAATAATCAAAAATATGCCCACAATGTATCCCTGTTTCTCCTCACTCTCTCCATCTGTTTCTTCTGTTTCTCTCTATTATTCACACAAGCACAACCTAGACCACCATTCAAAAACCACCACCACCAAAAATGTCTCATGCCGTGGTGGCGTCGCCCTATTCCCACCGTGAGGTCCGGCGGTGAACTCACCAAGGCAGAGAGCAAACACGAAGAAGGTGACTAACACGAAACGAAACAGGAGCAGCGTTGGAGCAGCAGTGGGGTTCGTGGAGAGATGAATGAAGTTTGTAGCAGTGCGTGTACCGCTACACTCTACATGCTAAAATGCCTCTCGATTTCAGACCTCTTTCATCAGGTAAACACGCTCTCTCTTTCTCTCTCTCTCTCTCTCTTCTTGCTCTCGTTCCCCCAATTCAAACCTAACATATAATTTTTAACTTTTCAGATCTTTACCTCTCAAGAGTTCTTCACCTGAATTTGCTAAACCTGTAGTTTTGCCTCCTGTAATTAATTTGATTGACATGGATTGAAGAAAACCCTTTTCTTATACAATTGAAATAATGAAAGCCCCAAAAAAATATATTTATAAATAAATAAATATATCAGGTTACACAACCCTAGCTCTTTGGGTTTTAACATTAACATATGGGTTTGTCCGTTGTGAATGCGTTATCTGAGGTGTTTACTTTCATTCTATACCTTTATTGGCCATTGCATTTAAGTTGATTCAGATGTATGTATCTATTAGTTCGTTTAATTCTTTTAAAGTGGAGAGACATTTAGTTCCTCTTGGCAGTGAATATGATTTAGGCTTTAATTTCCAATTTGATGTCACTTACCTGTCCTTTCTAGTGCAGATAGTACACATGTGGAAAAACTTTATAGGGTTTTAACATTACAGTATGGGTTTTTAATTAACACTAAAATGAACCTTTGTACTTATATTCGTGCTACATGCCTACATTTAGAATATGATGGAAGGGATTACTAATGCTGATTGCATTTTCACACTATGATATAATTTAAATATATATGGTGTCTAAGGGCCTGTTTGATATCCTTTTTCATCATTTTTATTTTCATTCAGTCTCATTTTCTCAATTTCCAGCAATGACTATGAATAATGAGCAATTTCCCACCAAGTGGGTGCAGGGCAGCAGCAAGTGGAACCTCTAGGCACTTGATGAAAAAATTATGGACTTCCTATTCCTCTTGTGGATCGTACTAGATTCCCAATTTTGACAACTGTGTTTTAGGATAGCACAAGAAGCTCCAAATGTTTTTTGCTTTAACTCTCTTCATCAGAGTTCAACTACTTTGCCTTGATTTGGCCGTTAACATAGCTACTTGTGTCCCTTTGCCTTGTCAAACTAATTTAGCACTCTACATTTTACCTGCTAATAACATTCCACAACTTCTTTTCTTTTCTTCTTCTTTTGTTTTTTATTTATTATTATTATTATTATTATTATTATTATATTATTATATTATTTATTTATTTATTTATTTTTTTAAAAAACTAGAATTTTTATAATTTAAACTTTCCCAACTTGTTGGTCTAGTTATTATCAGTGATTTCAAGTTGCTAGCATCAACGGTTTCTATTTATCAGGACCGAAGTCATTATTTCGTCATGTCTTGGTTCACGGCATTAGAAGTTATTGTTTGGCGTGATGGGAAGGCATTACCAACAAAAAATATCCCGTGGAAAGCCTGTAAACAAACTGTTAAATATGTCATGACTCGAGAGAAACAAAAGATCGTCAAAGGAACACACAATTAAGTTTTGACTGACAAAGAAAGTTAGTCATGACTTCCTAAATCCTTTATGACTTCTCATTACTGTCTTAATTCCTTTAGTGATAGTTGCGTTTAATGATTCTTCATATCTTTTTCTGACTATGAACCTTTATGCAGT